CCTCGGTAAACTTGATTTGTAGGGCATATAATGATATTCTAAGTAAGACTATCTAAAGAACGATATAAACAACAAGGAAATCTTTGAAGTGTATCTGGCGTAACTGATCAAAACAACGTAAAAGACCAAAACAGACTCTACCCCTTACAGTAGGGGGCTTAATCAACATCAAAAAGCCTTATTTCCCCTTGGTCTCACAAAAAATCTTTTACAAAATTATATATTACGTAATAGAGTCAGTGGCCTGACTATCTCAAATGACTAGAGGGTTAAAAGGGCAGGCAGACAGGACTACAGATCTATTAATACAAGTTAATCATGATGACAAATAATCATGCTTTTCTTAAAGCACACAATTCTATTACAAACCCATTGACTTCAAAGGCGCTTGTAATCAAAAAGCATTTCTGAGTCCTAAATTTGAAGGTTTATTTTCGAAGAAAGGGGCTTTATACATTCGGGAGGTCTCATTTGAACATTTATGGTACTTTCTTTGAAATTTGATAATGTTGTGGACTTTTTAACGATCTGAACCTCGACTAAGCATTGTGTTCTTAGACAAGCCATCTCGACGAACTGATCTCTCACTGAGGTAGGGAGGGAAAAGTGAAAAACATAGCCAAAATGTCAAAAATAACTTGTGCATAACCGAAACACATCATACACTCGAAATACCCCTGTCAAAGCTATGAAATTAATAGAAACAAATTACCACTATAAGCGTCAGTAATTGCCTGTATTAACGATCATTTGACAAGAATTCTTTTGTTCCTTGTTCCTCATGCATTGCCATTTTCTGCTCTCAAATTACAAGTGTTGTTTTCAGAACCGGTCAACCATCGCATCGGAGCGTACCTCAGCTTGTTTTTCAGTCAAGATTTTACAAAAAAGCAAGAGCCACTCATTGTAAACCATATCGACATAAAGTTGCGAATGCTACCGGGGAATTGTTTGGGATTCATTAACTCTGACCTGCACAGATTTTATAGATTGGCCATCGAACCGAAAAGGAATTTTATTTCTCTTTAAGGACATTCATGGAAAGAGCCTGGGAACTAGCTCCTTGCAGAATCTTTTAGAAATTTTCTCCCCTTTTTCTGATGACTTTTTTCGGTTTTAACATTTGGCGATATAGACGGCATTGTTTCAGCTCTGTTGTTTATATTTAGTTGAGTGTTCTTATGGAGGTCAATATCATTTGCCGATGATGCAGTGGTTTTTTAAATTGATGTTTATTTACAATGCAAATCATTGTTATGGACTGTTATGTTGATATTGACATTTTTAAAAACTGCGTCAAAGGTCGTTTTTGCGGTTTTTATAAACCTATTGGAAAACGGAACTAAGAAACTTAACTTTTTCGCTAGTCAATATTGACTTTAAATTGTCTAGACTGAGGAACATTTTCTTCTGAATAAAAGTATTACACTGCCCTTTCCGCTCCTTCTATTTAACATCAATAACAGGTCAATACGCCATGTATCGGAGCTACCCGATTTGATATCTCGTAAGCTACTCGTTCAGTGAGCTTAAGTCGACATATTTTTACTATACCTGAAGTATTTTCATAATTTTTGATTGAAGCTCATGGCCCTGGGAAAAGTGCCACTCGATAAATCACTTATCGACCGACTCGTCGAGCTGTGCGGAAGTTTGTGGCTCACGATAACTTGTTTTCAAGGGTCCTGCGGTATTTGGTTATTAAGTTATTTACAGCTAAACCAAATCTTCCTGCCCGACCTAAAACTCAGTAAATAAGTACTTACTATCGTCGGACTAACATCGCGCAGTGCCAGTTTTACACACTTGAATTGCAGCTGTCCAATCAACTATAGCTATTTCAATACTTCCTTGAAAATATTTACCAACTGTTGGCTTCTAGTTACTACTTGAAGGCATCGGCATAAAAGGATTACTAATGCGAGAATATTGATATGTTATTAAAAACTAAACACAAAACAGTTAGGCTAACCTTCCAAGGCGATGTGCTCTAAAGTCGAATCTTCTAGGTCTTCAAACAAGCTTCTTCCCACGGCATCTACCAGTTGACCCCCTGAATTTTCATCGCGCAAAGGGACTTTAGAAGTCCCTGTATGTAGCGTCGCTGATCTTTTTGTCTCGGGGTTAATATCCAGTGCATTGTCTGGAAAATGCGAAATCTTTGAAAGTTGCGGTGAGCGAATTGTAACATGTTCTCTGAGCGTATGGTGTAATCCTTTCACTTCATGTTGCAGTCGGTAAAGGGTTTTCTGCCGAGCTCTTTCCAAGGAATTCAAAGACGTTTGTAGAATTCTATCTTCTCTTTCGTTTAGCCAGCGGACATTGTTGCTTCCTTGAGTGAGATTCAACTCGCGAAAGCTTACTTTTCCATGAGTGGCAATTTTCATGCTTTCCATGTTGCGCGAACTCTAACCCTAACCTAATGGCAGGGGAAAGCTTATCGATGTGTATTTATCGCTCCATCTATTTCAACCTGTCGCTCTAATGCGCAATTTAACATGTTAATCTGTAATGGTCCGCGCGCGGATTGAAATTTTTAAGTGTTCTTTTTGTCTCGACATCCAAAATGTTGTATTTGCATGAAGCGAGCTGGAACACAATTGAAGTGAAAGGCCATAGTGATCGTGTGCGCCCGAGGGACTAATTACTTTAGATGCTTTTTTCTTGTAAACAATAAACTCGCTTTCACCTGTTGTGTTTTAATCAGTTGAAAACGTTAATAGTTTACGTCACAATTCCAAAGTGACCAAGCGAATTCTTTTCTTCCTTTATCCGGTTGCGCAAAAGCTTTTGTAGTGGACTATAGGAGGTGCAACAATTAAATATCGAACTGCGATCAGTGAAGGTCAGAATTAAAAATGCATTATTTAGGACACGGCTGGTAGGTGCCTTAACTTCTGCCGTCGCTTTTAAATATTGAGGAATAAACCAAGTTTCTGTATTCTGATATTCTCATAAAAATAAGTAAAAAGTAAGGCATTTTGTTCCTGAATCAGCAAAGAGGGAACCTGCAGCTCCACACGAGCTTTGAGTGAACGGAATGGCGTGTTCTGATCTTTATCGGAGTACAAAACAAAGAGGAAATTGCTGTAGGAGGTTTCATTCTTTTCTGTTCAGAAATCGGTATATTAAATTAATGCAAGCAATAAGACTTAACAGACATTTTTCAAAACAATTCTCTTCATTTCTCGCGCGAAAATTTGACCTCTTCAGGAACAAAATACGCGAGAGGTTTGGAAGTCTTTTAAGTTATGAGCAAGAATCAGTGTTCTAAATGCTTAACAATATTCATACTGGCTATTTGTCAGGACGGAACTTGGGAAATATTGCCCATATTAAAGATCTTTGCCCGGTGTGCTAGGACTTCAAAGTGTTTCTAACCTGATTAATGGCTTAGTAAACGATAACAAAGATACAAAAATTGAGGTTAAAATCTTTGGCTCCAGGCCTTATATCACACTTAATTTATGCATGCCTCTTGGATTTTTACATTGTTCACCATTCTTTATCATTCATTTTAATCTCTCCGAAGATTGTAGCCAGCTGCAGACAAACGCTAAGTTCAATATTTTTATAAACATTTTAGAGTTACCAGAACTGTTGTACAACTCAAAAGAAAAGAAAAGAGCATAGCCTTGCTCTTTTATTATTGCTGGTTGTTAATGACTATGACGAAGCATTTTTTAGAATTTAATGTGTTTTATGACAACCCCCGTTTTCCTGCACGTGCGAAAGTATTCTGCTAAGCTGTTTTCTGAGTGTAGTTATAACAAAAGCAAATATCGGTCTTTTATCCAAGTACTACCGTTTTCAACTACTTAATTTCTCATTTTATCACGTGATGTCACACCTAAAAAGCTAAATGCATTGCATAAAAAACTTGTAATGTATTTTATTGTTTAAACCCAAAGCATTAATTTAAACCGCGCCTGAAGAATCCTCTGGTCTTGCGAACACTCCTAAGGCTCTGTCCACACACGCCGGAGAAATTTGAAAACGGAGGTTTCACTCTGAAAACGCATCAAATGTTTTCCGCCATACTACGCCTGAGGAATTTGAAAACGCAACAACCAGCGGTCATTTTGGATTTGTGTTTGAGGAAACTTGGTCAGGGAAATCACATGATTATAGTATTCTGACGTCATTGTTTTCGAAAAACTCCGTTTTCAAAATGTTTTCCGTCCACACCAAAACGCAAAGCCGGCGTTTTCAAAATTCCTCCGGTTTGAAGAGCGTTTTCAAAATGCTTCGTTTTCGCAACGGATTAGCGTGGACGGTAGGCCTAACCGTAGAAATAAAGCTGCGTTTTCAAATTTCTTCGGCGAAGTGTGGACCTAAACCACGCGATCTTGTCACTGCGCCTCGATCCCATGCCACGGGAAACTGGGTACTAATTCTTTGAAAAATTGAGATTACGCGACGTGACAAGAATAACTTAAAATTATTTAATAGCATTTTATAGCTTTTATCTTATTTGATGTTACTCTGCATGTCAAGGAGTTGGCTGTACATTATAATGCTTGTATTTGTGAAGAGGAATTTTTAACAAGCTCAACTGGGAAGCTTTTGTTTAAGTCATTAGTTCGTAAACTTAATCATCTTTCTCCTTAATTCTTTTATAAGAATCTGAAAAATTTGTCATCACAGTTTTAAATGAAACTCTGTCTTTGGATAAAAGCGACTTAGTTTTTCATAGTGTCTGTCAAATTGTTCAAATAAAGTTCCGTAACATTATTAACCGCACATTTCCAAGCCCTGCATTTCTACGTAAGAGCTGAGGCAATTTTGTTTCAACCAATGAAAAAACGGTATTCTGTTGACCACTTAAGCCTTTACAAATCGTATTACAGTACGGTAATTATTGTTACTTCTCTCTTTCGGCGTGTTTTGTATGCAGATTTGTTCACACGCAATGTTTGAAGAAGTATACAATCACCGTAGTCGAGAATGGCACTGAATCATAAAGTGCAATTCTTTGTCTTTGACTGTAAAGTGAATTGCACTTTGGACAAAAGCTGCAATTACCTAACTCTTTTATCATCGATAGATTTTTGTTTTTTTCTCAGTGAAGGTGTGAATTATTTGCCGTGTACGTGAGTCAGTTGCTATTTACTTTGCCGTCTCTGCTTCACGCCAGCCAAGTTTTGCGTTTTTGCTTTCAAGACGTCACTGATAGACAGACAAAACTGCTCGTCAGATTCTTTGTTTGACTTTATCCTCTCGCCTTCCAAATACCCTTGTCATTGGCCGGAAGGTCGCCTTTTGAGAGTTTGAATAGCTGCTAAGTTGAAAAGAACAGCTCTTCTGTGAACTGGAACAAAGAAAGACTAATTCCTTGGTTTACTTTGAAGTTAATGCAAAAATGGCCGTGATGTTGAAAGAGCTTGTCTAGCTACAGACCTCATGATAACTAAAACTGGACTGCATTTCGCAAACTTTTCAAGAAAATGCGAGCTTCACTTTGGCAAAGTTAATGTCAAGTGGAACTTTTTACAAGAGTGGATTTTTTTACCGGATCAGTCACGCCAATACACAAAACCAAACAAATGCCAAGTTTGTTGAAGTTTTCAATGCTAGTTCGGATTACTGAACCTTCATGCATTCCTCCTTGATAAGCTACAGCGGCCTTCACTGCAACAGTTCTTTCAGAACTCAACTTGCAATGGAGCTAAATTCTACTAACTACGTACAAATTGGCGACGAGAAAAAACGCTCGAACGATGCGCGGAAAGAGATTGAAACTAATTCAGCAAACGTACTGACGAGACCATCTTTATCCGAAACAAAGAACGAACGAACAGGATTCGGAAGCATTGAACATCTCGCTCTTCCAACAGTTTTTGAGGGGAAAATCACAAAGGAAGGAAAAGTCTCTAAGCATGAGAAGTTATCAGCTATAGGTAAGATGTTTTATTGGTCTTTATTAGCATTTAGTCCTGAAATAAGCGCTTCCTGAACCCTTTTGAAAGGCCAACCAATGTTTGCATAAAATTCGTGTTGCCGACACCGTGAAAAGTGAGCTCATGGAAACATATCCATCGAGACTTTCTACCTTAGTTACAACAATTTATAGTCTTAGAGTGCAGTTTTCAATTGAATGTCGAAAGTAATCAAGCAATTACTTGGTTTTGGTTTTGGTTTTGGTTTTGGTTTAGAGCGGTTTTCAACTGCGTGTCGTAAAACCAAAACCAAACCAATTACTTACCAATTAGACTACTCAACCAATCTGAAATCGTAGTAAAACCAAAACCAAAACCAAAGTAATTGCCTGATTACTTTCAACACTCAACTGAAACCGCTTTAACTGGTTTGGTTTTGGTTTTACGACACTCAATTGAAAACCGCTCTATGCTGCAGATTGAAACCTAATTCGAACGACTTTAAAAGTTTTCCAAATACGTTTAACGTCCGAATGACCCTAACAATATTTATGTATTCGATGATAAACGAACCCTATTCAATGAGCTTAAACCACTTTTGCGCTAATGACCTTAATTGATTATAATTTCTTGTGTATAATTAAGTTCCTTGTTTGTTATGCTTCTGAAAACCCGAGAGAGGTAATTGAACTTTATTCGTTACTTTAGCATCAGACTTTCTAGCATATTCTAGTGTTGATTCTACGCTAGTCTTGCAATCTTTTTTTTTTTTCATAATTATTCAACCAGACTATTGTTCTCCGTTCGTTAAGTCTTTGTAAGCCTTAAACCAACTCATTTGTCAAAGTTGCCTTATTTGAATGAAACAAGGAGATGAAAAATTGAGGAATGATTTATAAAGAAGATGGGTAAGGTTTGGTTGTAAAAACGGTTATACAAATAATCCCCACGTTTGAAGTGAAATTTCCGTTCCAGGAAAGAGGATTTAGTTACTGCGACATTGTGTAATACTTATAATCCTAAGCGTGGATTAGACGAGGACGTGACGCAAGTCTGAAACATATTTTTGGTTTATAAAGCACTTAATTGCTCTAGTAAATATCATCTACATTTTACTTTCAGCTGATCTGCGGAGGTCTGGGTCAAATAAAGACGTCAGAGGCGTGGATCCTCGGCCACTGTCCCCATTCCTCTCTCGATTAATACCTCAGAAGAGTGTGGATGACAACGCAATATATGAGCAATCACTGCGGTCAGGAGTGCGCAGAATCCAGCGTAACTTCTCGAGTCCACTCCCCACTGGAGATCAGAAGTCAAGCCCCCTGAACATCAGAGGACGAGCTCTGTCGGATTCTCCCGCGGAAGCTCTGGTTAGCCCTATTATCCCACGGAGACATTTCGCGTCAGGAAACTGCCACACCCTAAATCAATCCCAGGGAGGTATATCACGGGTGAAATCGTGTCCAGTTATGAAAGCCGATTCAGATGAGCCACTCGCCAAGTTTTCACTTCCTTTGACTCTTTCACCGCTCTCCAAGTCTCCTTCCACTGACGCATGCTCAACAGTAAAACCCGCTGAACAATCGGACAGATTGCCGCGGATTGATCACACACACAGTCCAATGTTGGTGCAACCAGTGCGCACGCGTAAAACACCAAACGAGTGTGTGCGAGAGTTGTTTAACGTGAGTCCCATAATGGATCAATCTGGTAATCCCTTAAACCAAGCTGATGATAGCAACCTACAGTGCAAAGTCACAGATAAAGTAGAATACTACTTATACAGTATGTCCGTTGAGGATGAAAAAGATTAGTTATCGAGTAAAATCACAGACGTTTTTCGAGTTTCAATTTAGGAAAATCCAATTTAGGGGCCATTTTGATACAGCTTCTCAAATTGTCTTTGAGGTATGTGAAGGCTTGACTGCGTCAAAGACGTAAAAACATCTTTGCTTCTGCTTTGCTCTTTTGTGGGCACCTTTTTCTTATCCCAAGATTATTTGTCGCTTTATTTAATTGCTTGGTCGTTGTTGCATGATATAAGATAAACAACCCGCCAAGAGCCAGTTGTAGCTTTGTTTCTGATTATGATATATAATGATTTGTCGTCTAAAAAGGCGCGAGTCAAACTCTTATCCCATATCCTTTTGGCTGATTGTTCTTGTTTCAGCTTTATATATACACTGCAAACGCTCGGCATTTGTGCTACCGGATTGCTCATAATCCAAATACCAAATGAGTACTTGCTCAATAGCGACTATTACTTTAACATGCCAGTGTCTGTGTCAAATACGAAAATAACCAAATGTACCTCGGCGCGCAAGGCTGCTGAATGAATATTCACATTAGAGTGGTCCATTGGAGTCGAGCAGTCTTGGAGTCGTAATTGTCAGTGTTTTCAACACACAGAGTGCGTTATATGAAACTGAGTGGTACATGACGATTTTGGTGACACAAAAAAATTAGCCCCATGCAAAAGTAGTTGTAAAAGTTACCAATAACTACTAGGCCGGGGTAGATGGGAGGGGAGAGAGAGTAAAACTGCAAGTAACCAACACTCTGGTCGAGGATAGTGCATGACATATATGCGCGCAAATCGCGCGCATGCTCACATGGTTGGCGATATGAGGAAAGCCTGCGAGCGGGCTCACGTGGCGAGGTGGCGAGAGGGAATGAGCCCGTATAAGACCGGAAAGGTTTCACAGTTTCTCGCTTCGCACGTCGGCTGAGGTTACAGTAGCTTCCTCAAACGTTTGTGTGATCCCAAACGCTAGCCCGCTGGTAGGATAATACGCCGAGAGACAAGACACGGCGTCTCCGGCTCAGTGGGCGTCCAAAAGTGATACGCCCAACCTTGTTCCCAGAGTCTCTCTTCTTTTCGTCTCTAGGGAGAGCCCTGGGAATGAGCCTGGTCAACATCATGTGCAACCTCGTCCCCAGGGCCTTCTCCTCGAGGATTTTCAAAATGACGGCTCGTCATCTTGAAAAGTAAAGAAGACCCCGGGAAGAAGGTTGGGTCAGGGGTGTTCTGATCATTCCAGATGACGATGGAATCACACGCATTGAGACCAGGAATCTTATGACGGAGATTTAATCCTGTTATCGCAATATGTGTCAAAACGTTAACAACTTGGCTTTTAAAAATTCTGCTGGGGCAAGGTTCAGGCACCGTCCGCACTTCGCCGGAGAAATCTGAAAACGCAGCTTTATTTCTACGGTTAGGCCTACCGTCCACACTAATACGCACGAAAACGGAGCTTTTTGAACACGCTTTTCAAACCTGCAGAATTTGAAAACGCCGGCTTTTCGTTTTCGTTTGGACGGAAAATTTTTTGAAAACGGAGCCTTTCGAAAACGTAACGTCGCGATAATCATGTGATTTGCCTTCTCGAATTTTCCCCANTTTCGTTTTCGTTTGGACGGAAAATTTTTTGAAAACGGAGCCTTTCGAAAACGTAACGTCGCGATAATCATGTGATTTGCCTTCTCGAATTTTCCCCAAACACAAAATGACTGGTGATTGTTGCGTTTTCAAATTCCTCCGACTCAGTGTGGATGGAAAGCATTTAATGGATTTTCAGAGTGAAACCTCCGTTTTCAAATTCCTCCAGCGTAGTGTGAATGGGTCCTTAGTTAATTGTTAAATCCACGCAATATGTTATTATTCTAGGGATAACGTTGTTCATCAGATTAAATCCTCGCATTTACGTTCAGTTCAGCTGGTTCAGCGTAGCTCAAAGCAACTTCAATACAGCATACCAAACCAGTCAAATATTGCCTTTACTGGCAGGCAACCTGATAATATAAGGAAATAAAATGTATTTTAATTGTTACCGACTAGAAATAATGGCTGCAACATGGCTCCTGATTGCAATGATAAACCGCTCTCAACTTCTGGCCATGGAGATTATTTGTACTTCTAACCATGCAAATTACACAAAAATGATAACCTAAATAAACAAAATTCTTCTCCATTCTACATCTGCAGCGTGTATAAATCACTCATCCGATTCTTCTTTTTCTTTAACAATCGTATGCCCAACCACGGGAGAAAACCTCCCTCGAGCCTTACGAAGAATTGAGCTCACGTCCAGAGCTCCAGGAATGGGAGTCGAAGACCTGCGTAGTTCCCAGGGCTTCTGCCGTCTTCCCCCGGTAGCTCCCTTCTGTCCCCTGGGTGCGCTTGGCATGGAGCGTGGGTCTGAACCTCTTCTTCCTAGATCAACTGGGCAATCCTCTGATATTTCGGTGATGTTCTGGAAAGATGCGCTTTTCCTTATCGGTAAATCTGCAGCTACCAACGTGTTGTTGTTCGATGCTTTTTCTTCCAGCTTTTCAAGTTTACGAAGCATTTCAACAGTTCTCGCGCGATCCTTAGAGTTACCTTTGTCGTTATCCGAGTTTCCTCCCTCGTGGCGAGGTTTCGAGGGATTAAATGCGCAATCACTATTCTCCATAAGGGGAAAAACTGAAAACCTTTTGCCTTAACCTCCAGCAAACGTTTAGACGTCGTCAAGATTCAGGAGTCGCCAACTCGATCTGTTCCTTTCAGTCTTTAGATGGTATGCCCACAGATACCTAGTGTAGCCCTGTAGTTACTGAAATGTCTTCATATCATTGGTGCGATTTAAACCGTCATCAAAACTCCGAGGAATGGAGGATTGTGGAGTCGAAGGCTTCGATGTAGAATGCTAAACTGAACTGAAAACATGTCACAAGCGGTAACCAAGAGCACAAAAGAATGTTTGATCGAACAGAAAGCTTAGTTTGTTTTTGATGTCCAAATCAAACATGGAGACAATTCTGTCAGAATTATTAGCTATGTGTAAAGAGACAGAAAGGCCAATATATTGCTAGTCGGTAATAGATCCGATTACGGCCAGTTACGAAGGGTGGAAGGCTGCAACGTTTTGGACTGAAATGGAGCTGGGTTGAGGTTTCATGACAAACTTAGCTTTACTGTTCCGCTCCATGTCAGTCAGCTTTTGTAAAACGACGTAAGTTATGCAAGACACAGATGAGGTGAATATCTTAAACAGGAAAACAAAGTGATAATAGACAATACTGTTTACTTAATGCTGTAACGACGTAGTTGTACGAGAGAACACGCCAGTTTTTGATTAGATTAAAGATTTTTTTAACGTAACTGTGCAAATAAAACTGACCGGTTTGTGTGCAATCCAGACAAGACTATCCATCGAGGGCACCAAACACGAAGAGCAGTCTTACCTTTTGTCTGTAAGTAGTCATCATGTGAGCTGTAGTGAGTTTCCTCCAAAGATGAGGTTGTAATGTTTTAGACAGGGATTCAGTCTGCCGTTCATTGCTTCATCTTTACTTTCCACCCACCCCCTTCCCCCCCGGCACCTGTTGGTAGTATATATATGTTCAGTGTTGTGTAGTGAAAGCTAAAAGAGGTCCTGGACAAGTTACTTTACTCCCGCATTGCCTCTCTGCACCCAGGTGTATAAATGGGTACCGCTGAATTTAATGTTGGGGTTATCCCTGCGATGGACTAACATTCTACCCGGGGAGGGGGAATATAAATCCTTCTAGTCGTTAATACTATAGGGGCCGGATCCTATAGAAACCGGAGATGCTCCGGCCCAGGCCGGGTTATTCGAAAGATGGATAACGCTATCCACTGGATAAATCCAGCGGATAGCGTGGTTTGTTTTGGTAACTCTCATCCACCACTGGATAGCGATTTATTCTGTGGATAGCGTTATCCCCCTTTAGAACAACTGGGGCCAGTCTAAGACCTCGCGCTTTTCAACATGGCAACAAAGCATGCGAGAGAGAACTCTCTGGTAGACTTGAAATTTGATAGACATCATCGAGTTTTCATTTAAAATTAAAAACTCACCGTTTGTCAGTGGCATGGACAACTTTGTCATCTAATGTTGGAAGCAGCTACAGCTCCGATCTTGCATTCATAGCAGCCGAGTTGATATATGCAGTTTCCTTTCTAAAATGAAACCGTTATCAGTCAGTAAGACGCTGATATTAATTATTATAAATTGTCAAGTTCATTAACAAATTCTATCATATTGCAACGTCCGAGGAACTTGAAATCAGCCCGGTTAAGGGACTGGTCAAAAAGTATCGGGGGAAGGGGGTTGGCCGGAGTAGGGAATGGGTGGGTCATCAGTTTTTGAGCCCTCGGAAAGGGATTGGTCGTTCGATTTTCAGCGACACGTGGGGGTGGGTCATCCTATTTTAAAACAGGAATAGGCAATTACTTAAAAGTACTGTTTTTAAGAATGGAAAACTTGATTCTGCTGCAAAAGTTGGCCACACATTTAAAGCGTTGCAGCGTTACCCGGATGTGTAATTTATTTTTGTACATATTAAAATTACATCTAACCGAAATTAAAATGATAAGAAGCCTCTCTTTTGTGTATTTTTTAACATATAAAAATTATAAATTGTATTCAATATGAAATCAATGCTCTTTTTGCATTTCACAGCTATATTGTTCCTTCTACGAGACTACAAGTAAAAGCAACTTAAATTTTTCATGGATTATATATAAACAAGAACTGTAACTGGCTATTATGTATTTCTCATCGTGAACTTTTCATAATTATTAAAATTGCCCCAAAAATCCCTTCTGTACTGTTCCATAAACTCTGCCTGCTCAACCGTCATCAGTTCCTCTTGCTCTTCGACTTAATCAATGCTTCCTTCTCTGCTGTCTTGATCACTGCTACTTTGATGACCCGCGCTCTCTCCCTTCCCACTCTCTTCCTCGTTGCTTTCTTC